TTTCCGTATTTCTTTCCCTCTCCAGTTATTAATCCAGCCCCTCTAAGAACTCATCTCTGCTTATCAGAGTTACATGTTTAGAAATTTACTTGAAAACAGTAACTTCATGCCTTAAAATGGCTTAGATGTGACCACACAGTTTCTTCCTCTAGAGAGCCCCTGCCTCTATCTACCCAAACCATTTGATGCAACTTGAGCACACTAGCTCGCCTGCGACTCTGCTCAGATAAACTACTCGATGCTACACAATAGCAAGTTGTAATATTAGAATAATTTAGGATATTCAGGATAAGAATGATGCTACAGAACCCTCACCCTGCAAGTTAACAGGATTTGTTTCTTGATGTTTGTTTTGTATTAGACCCTGAGAAGCTGTGTTTTTGAGACCTTCATCACTACAGTGCAGTCTCCAGGAGGAGCTGGTTATTTCACTCATCATGTGTCTTGTAGCGTATAAAACAAAAACCACCATATGGACTTATTAACAGAGTAAAAAAACAAAAAGGAATTTAGCTGGAGGGGATTTTTAATTCAGTTGCCACTGAACCTACAGAACTTATGCAGAAAAAGTGGCTGAAACGCACTTTGTAACAGGTTGAGTGTATGAACATGTATGCGGAAAGATTTGCCGTTTAGTCAAACACAGAAAAACCCAGTTTCCTTTTTATCTGGTCAATGATTGAAAAACTACCACCAATACAAATAATAGCTGCTGTAATTGATTTCTGAACCCATCATCGTCCTGTCTGAAACTCCAATATACACTTATTAACATGAAATCAACCAATATTCACATGAGCAGGCCGGTGTTTGCGTTCTCATCTCCTCTCTAAAGCAGATTCACTAGACAGAAACACATCTCTTTGTTTGACATTCAAAAAGTCAAATTGTTCAGCACAGAAGGAACCTTAGAAACGAGTTTTGTCGTCCTCTTTGGGATCTTCTGCCCTCTAGTGTTCAGAAGTACATTACAGCAGCCTTAACTCATTTGCACTTTCTTGCTCAGGCAGGTAAAAATTGCCTCATCTCACATCTCACGGTGCTTCTTTGTGTAAAAAAGAAGCATCCTGGTGAGTTTTTACACCGTTTGCAGGTTTCAGAGGAAATTCTGTGGAGTGATGCATCTGTGCAGGTACAGAAAGCCTCCATTTCCCCCCTTTAGATTATAATCCTGATCTCTGTAGAGGTTCGTTCACTTGTTTTGTGTACATGCTGTATAATTAACTCCAAAAATTACACACTCCATTCAAAAAGTTTCATTCATGTATTTTTTATATATAAACTCCACCTTACGCTGATAAACAGAGTAGTTCAGGCTCCAGTCTGTAAGGCCTTGGGAAGGCCAGATAAAAATGTACGCCAAAGATGTAGTTTTGGGAGGAAATGTGTGTTAAAGTGTTTAATGTAAAATGTATATAAAGAGTGCCTACTCTGGCGTGGGCTTGATATTATCATCTCATGCCATGTGTGCAATAGCCTTTCTCTGATCAGACATGGCTGCCTATTTCATATGCTGGAAACTAGCTGATCTTTTGCACTTGTATGAATTTTAAGGAGTTGATGCTGTTACTTAGTTTTGGTGGGAATCTTTTTTTTTGTACCAGACATATCGGAACCAGTCAAAGAAAGAGAGAGAATAGTTTGACTTGTTTAAAATGTGGTTTACATCATGTGTTGAGCTGAATGTTGGGTTTTCACTGTTAGTTTGATAAATATAACGTTGCAGCTGCAGGACTCAAATAAAAACGTAATGCGTAGAAAAACAGTAAAATAACAGTAGCACACTTGATAATCAAACTAACATGATTTAGAGATTGAACTTTAATTTTGCAGGGTAGACATTTCTTTGTGTAACTTAAAAATGTACGTTATGATTTGTAAACACTACAGTAGACAGTGACTTGAGATACAGACTTGTAAAACTGCACTAGGATGGTTTGTTTATGTCACTGTTGTGCTGCCATTGAACGTAACACGCTGTTGGGCCTTTAAAGACAAATAAGCCATAAAGGAGGAACATATTTGAGATATTTTTTACTTTAACTGGAAGGTGTGTCAGAAAAATAAGTGTATTGTATGTGTGGTGACTGGAACCCAGAAACAACTTGTGCCTATTGACAATCATTGTGTTGCCGTCTTTGTGTTGCGTTCTCTTTAGTTTTTTGATTTCCTGTCTATGATCATGGTTTTGCATGTTTTTTTTTTTTAAGGAAATAACCTCAGACGGGTCTGTTGATGGTGCTTTATTTCAGTGGCTGGTGTTGTTGAAACTCCACTGTGATACTACCACAAAAGAAATCCACCAAAAACTGTCTTTATCAGGTTTATTTGGATTGTTGAAATAAATTGGGACAAAGCTGTTCAGAATTATATCAATTATCCATGTCTCCAAATATGTGTTTATTTGCTTTTAACAACAGTTACATCCTTTTAAATTGAGCCAAACATTACAAGAATAAATACCCAAACCATTCATGTAAAAAAACAAATCAAATGTAATTCTTGGTGAGGGGAACACTTTGCCAAAAATTAAACACCTTAAACTCTATGACTTAATAATGTGGAAGTGCATTGTTCTTCTCAAAATGACATGGGGTAAATTTAGACTAAAATTACATTTAAATCTGCACACCACAGAAAAATACAACCCTTAACCTTTCATGTCTATTTAATAATCAGTTAAAGTTAAAAGGCTCTGCTGTTTATAGAATATTGACTGCAGATGAGCTCCGACTAACTGGTTCAGATGATAGCAAGCAGAGAAGAGATTATCATTTGGAAACTGATCAACGGTTTTCTAAAAACCCAACAGCTTATTAAGTACTGCAGATGTAATGATTAGAAGTTGGCAAAGTTCTGACGTAATAGGAGCTGAACTGATGTTGGTTTCTGGAACAGAATGAATCTGCTGCAGGTCGCCTAAGAAACAGAAAACATGATTAAATAAAGAATCCACTCGATTTGTAGTTTTATCAGCACAGTGTATACAAAACAAGATCCCACCCGCAAGTATTTAAAGTTCAATGTCTGAAATATGCATCCAATTGGACTATTATTATTTAAATAAATATACTATTAAATAAATGAAAATGAAAGCAGTCAGTAGTGCTTATAGAGGAATACTATACATTTACTCACCACTGTTTTACTCAGTGACATCAGGCACGGTCAGCAGCTCGCTCATGCCACCTGCAAAGATCGTTTGATTGTTAGTGACACTGTTCAAAATAATCAGTATCTTAAAAATAATAATATTTGAAATGTGCATGTGAGTCCAGACCTGCATCCGAATACATAAAGTGAAACCAAAAATCTTTTAAAGCATCAAAAGCAAAACTACAAAATAATCTCTTAGTTGAAAATGACCATTAAAGCCTAACAGAACTGAAATCATACTGATTGGTCACATAAAACTTGACTCAAATGCAGGTTTTGGATTTAACCTGCAACATGCATTGACTGAACAACATAAAAACAGTGTTTCCAAACTGCACACAGCGCTGACATGACTCCTTTCAAACCAACTTCACGACCAGTTGTCTTGTCTCACCAGAGAAGACGGAGGCAGCCGGCTGCTTCTCGGCACACGGGACCTGCTGCCCGCTGACTGGGTCCACGCACCAGCACTGCATCATGTAGCACTGCCGGGTCTTGTAGAGGCCGCGCTCGTCGCAGGTGGGGCGGAAACCTGGAACCTGCACAGGCTTCAGACCCAGAGCCTCCAGCTGGCAGTTGGTGGCTTGAGACGGGTCTGCAAGAGGGGCGCAGAGGAGACGAGGGCAGATGAATATGCATAAATGTAATCGCAGCTTTTATTTTCAAATGTGCATAAAAAAGTTGAATTCATACACAGTATACATACACATGCAAAGACAGTAAATATATAGAACGTACCAACTTTTTTTGGGGTGTCGGTGCCAGCCGTCTGCTAGCAAACAACAGAACACACAGAAATCAGTGGATTGCACAAGAATATGACAGAATTAAGTCCAAATAATACACAATATGTCATTGTAACTACAGCCTGACTGATAAAACAACTGGAATGATGAGATTTTTCCAGGAATCTGTACATGTGCTGGATGACAAGCAACAAAAACTGCAATAGAGATCCATCACAGAGAACTGGAAGTTCTCTTTTCCAGATCCTGCGTTATGAAATGAATTGAGGTGATCCTTGTTTAGTTTGTGTGAATAACAAAAAAAACAAAACAAAAGTCCGTATAAAGCCAAGTGTGGGACTTTTTTTTTTTACCTCATCTGAAGCGTCGTCTGCCAGCGCAGTCAGGGTGTTCATGGGCATGTGCATCCGCAGGGGCACAGAGGCTGCAGGTATAAAGAGAAATAGTGCATGTTAGAGGTAAAACAAACTGAAATGACATCCAACATAGATAACTGGAAGCTTGGATAACATTTAAAGTCAAAGAAGACTACAGTGTCCACGATGAGGAGGTGCATGATTCATCAAGGACAAATATTTGAGTGTTTTTTTTTTAAAGAAGTGAATTAATGCTTGTCTTTTTATTCATTCTTTAGTTTGAAAAGTAGCATCAGATTACTGAGAGAACCAAAACTGGTTTACTTTACGGGGTTTAGAAACTATGTGGAAGAACTATCAGTACATGACTTTATGTTATCAGCACTGATTAATCACAGATACAAGTGACGTCATGGGTTTCAGGGGACTTTCCTGACATTTGTCTTCCTTATTTTCTTATTTAGCTGCTCAGTAGGAGCCTATTGTTCCTTTACAGCATGAGATGTTCTGCTAAATGTCAGCAGTGTTGGTACATCCCTCCTAAAGAGAACCGAACTTGGCCTCCTCACCAGATCGTCCCTTGGTCATCACCGTCTGCAGCTTGTTGTTCTGCTCCTCCAGAGATTTGATGTCGCTCCTCTGGCTGAGGAGGAAGTAGGCGGTCATGGCCTGGCCCACAATCAGCACACAGGCCAACAGGGTGATGCCTGCGATCTTGTAGGCTCGGGTGGAGCTGCTATTGGAAAACAAAAAGAGAAAGATGGGGAAGACTTCCTTATTAGTGACTGTCAGATTAAAACACTGATATCTACTTCTAGGACATCATGTGGATTGGATTCTTTGATGTGACAGGGATGAAGGGTAGAAGAGGCAAACAGAAGTATGAGGAACATTTCTAGTTGGCTCAGCTCGGGGGACTTCTATGAAAACAGGAACCAAGGTATGTGCTGTAAGCATCACATACCAAGTGAGCAATGACATCAGCTGTTGCCAAGCAGAAACCTGAGAGAAAGTTTAGGAATTTCTTGTATTTCCCTTTTCTTCATGGCTGGCTTTGGGAATTCCCATTAATTTAAATAATGTAAACTCCATTTTAAACTCAAATAACTAACAGATCTATTGTGTACGGAGCCCGTCTGGTGACATCAATAAGAAATAAAAAATAACTCGTTCCCACGCATTAGTAAATCGTGGCCACGAGTTATTAATGTGTGGGAAACACATAGTTAAATTGTGGCCTCGCATTACTAATATGAAGAAACAAGAGAAGTTGTGGAGCAATGGTGCGGCCATACCAGCTGGATAACGGGCGGACTTGCATGAAACATGGAGCATTCTGATTTGATTTGATTTGATTTTAACCTTGGAATGAACTACACCGATCTCTTGTGATGAAACACCGTGTGATCATTTTGTCGTTCCCATGCATTAATAACTCGTGGCCACGATTTACTGATGCGTGGGAACGAGTTATTTTTATTTCTTATCGATGTCACCAGACGGGCTCATTCTGCAACACACTGATAGTAAACGTGTTGAATTCGGATGTATTTACACATAAAATACAGCAAAATTCAATGACATCCATCGACTTTTAGTAAAACTAAAGCCCTTGTAAAAGACAATACATGTTACTGCATCTCACTAACTACCACGTACACTTTGTATTACTGTTCATATTTTTTTTGAGTTACAAAGTTTTTGTTTTCCAACTAAATAATGATCATCAGACTCCCAAAGCTTACAACAGATTGGTCATCAATCCTATTTGATGTGGTAACAATATTGTTGTGTGCTGACTGATCTAAAAAGTCTGTACTACCTGTTGGATCATACATCACTGAAATCAATCATCTTTCAAAAGCCAGCTCATCAATTTAAATGTAAATGAATGGAAGCTGTAAAATATACAGTCAGAAATATGTGAAAAGCAGCACTTTAATTTACACAATATCTGACTTTTCTTATTACAGTTTGTGAAAAATGGGTGAAAAAAAATCTGTGGTGGTTTCTTCTCACCCATCAGACTTTAGTTGAATTTAACAACACAGAGAGGCAACAAATCCGCTATTTATTAAGTTAAAATAGTTGAAATTTCATGAATTAGTAGACTGTAGTGTTTTGCAAACAATGTTTAAAACACATTTTTAAAAAAAACATGACTGATAAACATTCAGAACAGATTTGAAAAAAGAGAAAGTAAACATGACTTAAAAGGAAGTGAGATCTTTGAAAAGCCCAGATTCAGAACAAAAGTGACGAAGCGTGAAAGGAATCAGTTTATGGAACGATCTGAACAAAGAAACCAAAGAATCAAAATCAATATTTACATTTAAAAGAACAATTAAAGCCTTTATGTTGATGTTAATTATGTCTGACTGTAAAGACAAGTCAATAATCATGTCAAATGTACTGTTTTTTTAAAGAGTATTAAAGAAAATGCATCTAAAGTAAAACGTGACTGTCAGCTTTGAAGGACAGCTATTTTATGTTATTGTTATTGTTTTGAATATTTTGATGTTTATTGTGTTGTTGTTGAAGCTTTTTGTAATCAAAGTTTTTTGTACATTTATTTCTTTGGCTAAAGGAGCTAGGAGTCACGTTTAATTGTTTTGTTTTAACTCAATGAATGTAATAAATTAAAAATAATAATAATTATAATTTAATTGACCAAACTCCCTTTCCCGCTCCTGTTCTCACCACTGACCTACTTCGTTCCTAACCCTTGTACTGACTGCTTTCATTTCCAACTATGGCCACCACACACATCAGGGAAGTCCCTAAAACTTAATCCCCTCATAAACACTTTGTACTTTGTACATACTCTGTAGGAACCTGCTTTTTGGCTTCATCTGGTGTTTGTATCCAACAAAAAAAAACATAAAATTAAGACACATAATCCTCACCCCTGGGCTGCTTGCTGGCTTGAAGCCCTGAGCAGAGGCTGAGTTTGGGTCTCGGGGTCAGACATCTTCACCTGAAAACACACACATAAAACAATCACAAACTGGTTTCAACAGAAGGATGTTCACATTCTGGCAGAAAACACACAGACGCTCACACACAAGCACAATAAAACAGACACAGTACCTTCTTTCAGGTTAAGTTCCACGCAGTAGGACAATAATAAAGACTGAATTCAGAGAGGTTTTACCTTTATGCTGATATAAAGAAAAAGGAACTGAAATCAGGTGGCAGGGTAAACCCACATTCACTATCCGAACAACCAGATTGAGCTCTGGCTGATTCTTTGTCAAACTGGATTTCTGATTGGCTGCTCGCGATGACTCATCATCTGTTACCAGGTAGAGCCTATACAACTCTTTAGCAATCATCAAACAGCTACAAAAGAAGGAAATATTTGTTGAGCAATAATGACATGATATTGAGAATGATTTCCAAACTAATACTGAATACTTGTACCACTGATTGTGCATTTAATAAAGCACATTGTTATTAATATGTGCTGTAGAGAGAACACTGACTGGATGTAATTATTTCATCTCGTTTACATTTGATGTTTAGGATCCAATTTATGTGTTTGAATTCGTTTTTTTTTAATGTGACGTTTGTTTTATTGCAACACACTCTGGAATTTTGCTATCAAAAAGTGCAAATACAAAACCATCCTTATAAAGTATTGTTTTTGTTGTTGTCTTTGTTTGGTATTGTCAGCAGTATTTAGCTCGTAGTGTTAATTGGATTTTCAAATACCAGAAGTAGTAAAGCGTTGAGGAACTTCATTGTGCATATGCTGACATCTAAAATCCCAGAAAATGGACAGTTTTTTTTTATTTTAACTTACCAATTCTCAGTCTGTACTGTTTGAGTTTCACAATCTCCAGTGAAACCCCCGATAATTAGACAGTCATCAAGGTTTTATGTCATTATCAAATATTTTCCATGAAAGAACTGCTACTACTATGCTACAGTAAATAGTAATGATATATATTTTTTGAAATAAATGAACACATTTTGTTCAGAGATCATCTTTGTCATATCTTGTCTCTCTTTATATCTGCATACAGTTTGAAAAAGACTAATTTATGTTGATAAATGGACAATACCCTGCTTCTCACAAAATAGACACAAACAGCAAAGTCTTACGTTAAAATCATTGTGTTGATATTTGATCGTGATTTGTGTGTGAATCTGACATTTGATCAGCAAAATTAGCAACAAGCCCAGACACAACTGAAGCAATTAGGGGAAGTGAAAGTTTAGTGGGAAAGCTTCACATTTCCAGTAAATCCAAAAAAAATTGGCCTGTGATCAAAGATAAAGTCGTAGTTATGAAGAAGATTACAATAGCAAAAATTATCTATCTTTTTGTGTTGGCTGCTGGGATGGTCTCAAAACTTCTTTAATTTTCAGAGTGAAAGCTTGAAATTTTAAAAAAAATAAATAAAAAAAAAGGTGTATATTTTATTATTTATTTTTCTAGGTTTACATTTTACTGTTCATCTACAGTCCAGTCCAAAGTGTTTACTGTTTCCAATAACCATTTACGTTGCAAACATTATTTAGACGAATTAGACTGGCAAAGTAATGTTGATATCATCTGAGTGTTTAGTGTTTTACATTGAGCTTACTTGTAAAGCTGTAAAAAAATTTAAGCCTTAAGTTTAACTTTCCTTACAGTTAAGGATGAAAAATGATTAATTCCTTTGAGAGAATCAAACTAATTAATTTACATGTAACTTAAAACAGTGGCACAAATTTTTACTTGTTCGCTTAATTTGAATAAACTGAGTTCGATTGCTTGTTACCAATTAATGAATTTCATTAAAGTTGCTGGAACAGTTCTGTTTTTGTCAGTTTGACGTCACTGCAAAGAATCATGCAAAGAATTAGATTATATTAGATAGAACTGGATTAGCACCTTTAGAAAAGTGTGGGTGGGTAAAATAATACAGAGACAAAAGAGATTATTTGTTTATGCCGTTTGATATTGATAAAAGCAGCTGTAAATGTATATAAAGAACTTTAATGAGCAGTGTTGTATCTTTCAGGTTTTGGTAGACGGTCACTTTGTGGAATTACAAATGCACACAATGGTGCAATGATGTGTTGAAACAGGATGTAAAAAAATGTTTATTTCTCGTTTTTGTTTATTTTTGTTACATTTCTTTTCATTTAGTCAGTATTGAGGTAATTTAGTGCCTCTAATCGGTATACTCCGACACATCAGGTGGCGGTAAGCACCTTTCCATCTGCCAATAAACACGAAGCCAAAATAAGGCTCTGGCCCTTTAAGACTTCTGAGCGTTTTGATTGGTTGAGCCGATTCTGTTTCAGGAAGCGCACTTTCAGCTTCATTTCAGCTGAATACCCGCAAATATTTTGGAGCATTTTCAACTGTTTAAAGGTAAAACTAGCGATCTACTCTTCGTACCGTGTGGGAATGTGGTGCTGTGAATCAATACGCCCCGCTGTCGTGTCAGTTAACCGGCTAACTTTCTTAGCGTCATCGTGAAGCGGTAAATTTGAAACCGCCAGCTAACCTACTAACTCGGTTGTGACAGCCAGCAAACTTTTGCAAGTTTGGCAGCTTCAGTAAATGTCATGTTTGTGCTAAAGCTGGCTCATATCACACGCTGATGCCCTTCGTTTAGCCGTAATTTGCTGTGTAACGACAAATAACTAGCTTAAATGTAGGCTATCAACACTTTCACTTGTTATCGCAAACGCCTCGCCACTGACCCGATGTGTACGTTCATTATTAAAGCAGTTATTGACTAAATAATGTAATGTTCACTGTAAGGCTTTATGTAACTCTTGCTAACTCGCTTTCTCGAACAGATGATGCGAAAACCCCGAGCAGCAACTGCCAAGGTTGTCAAGTACAATGACATGGACTCTGATCTGTAAGTGATTTTCATTCATTCATTCATTCATTCATTCATTCATTCATTCATTCAAAGCAGACATGATTCAAATTTAGAGTGATGGGGTCAGGTTAGAATCCATTTTCACTATTTTCAGTGGTCTTTAACACTGGGACAGATTGCCATGATACTCACTCTGTTACATTATTCAAATGGGACACTGTGGCTGAACGATTGGGCGAAAACACCAAATTGCGATTTGATTTGTCATTTTTGAGGTGAAGGTACAGATCAATATTTACTGTGTAAAAGGTTTTATATGTGTGATACCACATGAGATGCCGTCACAAGTGTGGCTGTCGCACAAAGAAGATGGCATGAGTTTCTAAAACCCTGGATAAGACATGCACAAGCGGTGACCTGTAAATAGCAAGACAGCTCTTATGTTGGTGCCTGAACCAAGCACTAGGCATTGATTCATAGGCATAAACAACCCCTTAAAGTTTAAATCTAATCAGATTAAATCACACTTACTACAGCATATGTCTCATGATTTAAAAGCCACACCTTGTGTATCCTAAATTACAGCCATGCTGATTTGCTAACTGCCTACAATTTCAATTTTAAATCGATGAATTATGTAGCCCTATTAGACACCTGGAAACACATACAGAATTTACTAGAAAGAACCAAGCTCTACTCAAGTATTACGATTTGCGGTTTACTTTGTCTCTACCCTACCATCAGGTCTTTTGCCCACACAATGAGTAGTGATGAGGATAGTGACGAATGGGGGCCACCGGAGCCAAAGACAAAAGCCAAGACTGCCAGAGCCCCTGCAGCTGCCAAGAGAACTGCTAAACCAAAAGAGCCAAAAGCCCCAAAAGAGCCAAAAGCCCCAAAAGAGCCAAAAGCTCCAAAAGAGCCAAAGCCCCCAAAAGAGCCAAAACCCCCAAAAGAGCCAAAAGCCCCAAAACAACCTAAAGCTCCCAAAGTGCCTAAAGAGCCTAAGCCAAGGGCACCACGCAAAACTGCAGCAGAACGAAAAACACAGGCCCCTAAACGACCGAAGGATTCTGGTGCATCTGGGGTGGCTGGAACAAAGAGGAAAAAAGTGGAAAATGAAGCTAAAGAAGACAAAGGAGGAACACAAACTGACTTTCCAGAGAGGACTGAAGAGAGTGGGCCAAGTATTAGAATGAAGGAAGAGGTAAGGCTCATTGTCATATTAGTAACAGTCTATATCAGAGATTCTTTGATTTACAATACTCTGGCATGTATTCTCTGCAGCAAAACTCTGTTTTGTCAATGACTGGTCACTGATCTGTATTGTTTTTTGCTATATTATAATTTTTCCTCTTATCTGTTATCTATCTCTTTCCTCTTTCTTGTTTTTTTTTCCTTATAGAGAGTGTCATTCATTGTGTCAGAAGCCCACCAGGCAGACATATGGACAGGTGAGGGCTCATCACGAGCTGGCCTTGGAGTGAAGAAAGAGGAAGCGCCGGAGGAGGATTTCACTTTTGATGAGCCTTGTCTAAAGAAACAGAAGACCAGTGGTGCCTGCCTGGGAAAACCAACTGCTTTGCCTTCATCAGAAGCACAGTCGCTCAGGAATGAGCTCAATATGAACTGGGACATGACAGAGGTATTCAGGGGTTTTTTTCTTCTATGTGTTGCAATGATTGTCAGTATTTTTGTGAGATGATGAAAACAGTTCAGCATATGAGAGAGTCTGGCATTCACTGACTGAGTGACCGACTGGTGACTGACAGACACACAAATGCTGAAATGTATGAACAGTTTGAAGGAGATTCAAATGGGCCTCCAGGAAACTGTCACGGCTGCTTGCTAGCCAAATGGAAATACTTCAGTTTTTTATGTTCACATTTCTACCTCTGTTTGCAAAAGGTAGCAAATGATCCTAAAAGTTTAATGACCCTCACACTTTAGCCAGTGTGACAAATAAAAAAACAAACAAAAAACCCACAAAAATGTGCATTTTGATAAGCTGCTGATGCTTACAGTACCCTTTAACAAAATTATCACTACCTTGGAAAGTTTGGTTCCATCTGTGCAATGGGATTCAAAGGATGAGAGTAGATTTACAGCTCCGTGTTGTTATCTCTTCATACTGAGATATCTGCCTCAAGCAACCATGCATGTGGGGCATTGGACACCTTTAATGAGTGTATATATGTGTATTGTTGATGACCTATAGCTGAACAAACACGACAAAATATTAAAACTCTCATACAACAGTGAATGCGATGGAGAGCACACACCATTTTTCTTTCTCCAGCATTATGCATTGTATTGTATTGCTAATTCCAAAGACTCGAGAGAAAACAGGACGCAATGTGTTTATGCACACACTAATGTCTAAAGTTTAAACAGAAATACTGTCTATGCGTACATTTTTTGGCTGTCTTTCTCCCTACTTGCACATTATATATACATACGTACTGTGTGTATGTGCTTCCCCTCAGCTGCTGTCCACCCTGACATGTGTGGAACAATGGGTGTGCGTAAATATCGTCACGCTGCTTCGTGAGGAGAACACGGTGCCGTTCATGGTGCGTTACCGCAAGGAGATGATCAACCACATGGATGCTGATGCTGTCCGAGACGTCCAGATGACTTATGAGGCACTATGGTAGGCAAATGTAACACAAATTCAATCAAAAGACACAAACTAATACACCTTATAACCCACCCACACTCTCACACATTCACATAGAGATTTACTGATACAGCAGCAGCCATGAAATACTTTCTCTCATCAGCTCAACAGGAGTTTGTTTTACAAACAGCATGTTTTACTTTGGCCACTAGGTGGTGCTATTGCTCAAGCTTTGAGGGATGTAACACTATCAGTTGTGTGTTTGTGATTCTTTTACATGTGTATTACTGAAGTGTGTGTTTGTGTTGGACAGTTGTCATTTGTGCTTCTTTTTTGTGTATATTTGTGTTTTGCTTAAGTTCTCTGGCTAAGAAGACCCAGTCTCTGATCCAGACCCTGAAAAAGGACGGAGTTTTGACAGCTGAGCTGGAACAAGATCTGAGGAGCTGCCAATCAGCTGATGAACTGGATCATGTGGTCAGAATCACATTTTTGTGCAAAACTAATGTCTGTTATTTAAGTCCACTTTGAGAGTTGCAGTATTATTTATTCACACCTGAAAAGGCTCCTCATACCTCCTCACCTGTCATCTCAGTCCAGTGCTTGTGTTGTGTTTACCTGCAGTATTCTCCCTACAAGAAAGGCAGCAAGCTGACGAAAGCTCGCAGGGCCAAAGCACTTGGGCTTGAAGCAGCCGTAACTTCTCTGATGGAAACACCACACTCTCTGGATCTGAGGGTGTACATAAAACCTGGTACTGAAGGTACGAGATAAACACATGTACAGTCACACAATGAGATAAAAATATTCTTTTGACTTTTTTGAACCAAATTCATGAAGAAAAGATTTTTTAATTAATTAATGCCTTGAGATATTATTGATGCCAGTGATTGATAGTGGACAGATTTTGAAGTATTTACAATAGTACTGACCAAAATACTGATATGCGCAATATTTTCTATAACTAGTACTTATATGTATTTATTTGTTTATTGATTTTGTATTACATTTTCTAAAAGTTTGCATTATCTTTTGCTGCTATAACATTGCAAATTTGACCACTGCAGGATTAATTAAGTCTCATCTCATCTCATCTCATCTCATCTCATCTCATCTC